AATTGATTTCGTTTCGCACTTTGGATTGCAGCTAGAAGCGAACAAAATAAAAATGTTTATGATTAATTAGTTTTCAACATTTTAAATGCATTATCTTATTAAGTTTTTATGAATGGTTGAAAGATTTTATTGTTATTTGATTAGTTCCACAGGTCAAAATGGAAAATTAATGCAGATTTAGATTTGTTCGAGTGACCTTTTGGGGGGATTAAAAATGTTTATGGGATTTATCAAGGTTGCGGAAGGGCTGATGGATGGAAATAAAAGTGAAAATGTGTCAAATTGATTGAATTAGAGTACGATAAGTTTACTTTTATGCTTTAGACAGGTCGAACTGTTGATGATTATTTATATTCACACCGTTTTCAAGTGTGAATCTATTGTTTTTATGGGAAAGATTTTGATTTCGAGCATTCAGAGGCACAGCTAAGTAGGATTTTAAATGGCTCGCATTTAAAATTTTATAAGATTTTCAATATAGATAAAGACAAGCTAGTCTACGTCCTAAGAGATGGTATTGATTCTAGAACCAAGGAATCGCGCGTGCTATAAAGCTTAGAGATCCTACCTGTGTGCCTAGTGCTAAGCATAACAATCGCGTATGATCAAATCACTAATTTCTACCATAAAATGCCATCAATGATCGAAAAGTGTCTGATTGAATTAACTTTAGTTCCATTTCAAAAAATGTAAATTAAAATTGCTAAGCAATTAATTCGCTTAATATTCCACAGTTTTTATGCGATTAAATTAAGCAGAAAAAATAGTAGCAAATTATTTGCACGGTTAGAGATCTTTAGATTCAGATATTGTACAAAATATTCATGTTTTCTCACAACTGCATTAATCTCAACACTGCACAAACTGAATCGAATTCTCGGAATGACTTTGAAATTTTTTTAACAAAATTTTTATTGAAAACCTTAATTTTCAATTAATATAAAAATGGAAAGATTAACAATGAAGGTGCATAAATTTTATTAATCTCATAAATTTAATTCAATTAATTACTTTGCTTCCTGGAAATCTATTGGATATGCTGAAAAGAGAATTCTATAAAATAAACGATAAAAATTCTTTAACATATGTTTTGTGAAGGTGCCATGCATAAATCATAATGGAACTTTGTGTATGGAACAGTTTAGAAGTTATTGAAGATCCGGTTACACATAAAGCGATTTCGCGATTTGGATAGCTAGTTTTTCTTTAATTTATTAAGTAGCTAGTATAACTTTGGTAGTAGCTAGTCTTAGCTAATCTAAACAAGAACCTTAGACGAATCGGTATACTACGGAACATCAGTTGTCTATGTAGTGCAAATAAAATTCACCATAATTCGCACTTTTCCACCTTTTATTGCTAATACTCATCTTCCCAATATTCAATCCTAATTCAATTCATTCTCATTCTCATACCATTCAAATTAATTAAAAAAATTCTCGCTTTTCCATATTTTTGCCATTGTCTTTTCTAAACTCATTCTTTAAATGAAATAAGCGGCGTGCAGTCTGAAGGATATCTTCTTTTCATGAAATGTATTATGGAATTTATTTTTGTTATTGTACAGCAAACTGCAGCAGCATGCAATAAATAGCAATAACAATTAATGTTCATATGTTGACAATTATTATTTTTGCCGCAAGTGTTCTCTCGGTATGACTTTATGTCATTACAAATATTGCTGTTCATTGGGTGTAGTTTGTAAAACAAGGAAGTGTAAATAGAACTTAGGAATGGAGATGCGGGTTATAGGGGGCTAGGAGGGTCATTTTTGATAAATTTAAAGATCTTTTTAAGATTTAAAATTTTAACCAAAGGTGCGGAACTGATAAATGAAATTTTGATCATTTTCGACCAATTTGGATTATTTTTGATTTTATTTGATCACTTAATCAGTTCCGCATTCTTGATTTCAACGGCTTTTTTTTTCTAAACTTTGAATCCTCAATTTAAACTTTTACAACGGTTTTTTTAAATTACAAAAATAATCGGATTGAATTTTATAGCCGGTAAATAGGGTACAAAAACATTAAGCAATAATCTTATTATTGAGATATATTTAAAAACATATTTAAATGTGGCTGGTCGCGCTAATCTTTAAAAATATATTTATAGAAACACTCTTGTTGATGCTGGGATGAAGAAATAATTTTATTATTCATTTTTCTCACGATTTTCATTTTCTATGTCGTTTCGTGCTACAATATCTAACATTACATACGGTCTAAAGAGTAAATGTCTCAGCACCTCAAGGATCTTTTCACTGTATATAGATATTGCGATGGCAAGTGAATTAAACATCGTTAATTAATTAACTATGACTGCCGTATGTTTCACACCGATCTCTCTTTGTTGTAAATAGTATTTAATTTGAATACATCTGGATGGCACAACCAGCTCAGCGCCAGTCAAGCAACAAAAAGCCATTCATTCACAATATAAATCGTGGGCGCAAATGAAGCGAATGTAAAGTGAGTGAGCACTGAAAAATGTTATTTATATCCGATTGTGTGAGGATTCAATGAACTGAAAGTTTTCTTCAAGTTCTTCTTTTATTTGCTTCTCCACTTTTTTTTTTGTGAATGGAACGAGATAATTTATGCAGCTGTTTCGGATGTAAATCTGTAATGAAAACATTTCGAGTGATTCTTCTTCTTGTTTTTCGTTTTCATTTCTTTATTCGTAAAATTTTTTAAAGTAAATAGAATGTCTTTTGGCTTGCATATTTGAGTTGGATTAATAAAATGTGTAGCGAATTTTTTGCTGTTTCGTGGGCTTTTTGATATTTTTTCGTGGTTGTAGAATTTAATTGACTAGCTTTTTAAGGTTATGTTATTTTTTAAATGCTTTGAAATACATTTCAATTCTTGATAGACTGTTAGGAATATTAGACACCATTACGAGTGGAACAACAGACGTAAGGTCGATAAAAATAACCAATTTTAAGTTTCCGAGGAACGAAGTTCCTTATAAATTTTCAATAAATCACAATAACCCAATTTAAATGTAATCAGCCAAATCATTAACATTTATTCCATAAAAATATTCCATTCAAAAAAAATTAAATTTTATTCAAGTACACAAAAGTAAATTAATTGCCTGCGCCACCACCGTAGATGTCGTATTACATTTCTTTTTTTTCTGTTTGCCAATTTCGAGTTATTCAATGAGCCACAAAAGTGCGTAGGAATGGAATTTAATGACTATTTGTGACTTTTTCTTCGCATTCATTCGCTAAAATTGAGGATTAATGGCTTAAGAGAGAAAATATTACAAGCAGTGATGAATAATTAAGTAAAAAAGTTAAACTGAAGTGACTGACTGTACATTAGACTATATGCAAATAATTTTACATTGATGAGTTGAAAATTGCAATGACAAACGGCAGTAAAAATACAAATTACAATATTTTATTAAGCTCAGATGACGGTCGGCAGGCGGAAAGCTTCAAAAGTTATTAATGTAACCTCCTCGTACATATGTTCGATTCGCAACTCTACATCCATTACTAAATCAGCTCTAGATGTCTTTCTTTCCAACACTATATTTCTCTCAATCTCATTATTATTTCTCAATTTAAATTCGATATAAAAAATGTTTTTTCCTCTAATAGATGTAAAGGCTGGAGATGGAATGAATTTATCGTATATCATTTCTCAAATAATAATTGCCAATTTATGATGCCTTTTTGCATTTTACAATATTGAAACTGCCCAAACTATTATTTCTTTCATTCGGTGTATTTTCATTTCGCAATATGTACTTAAATTGCCATTGCATATACGACAATATGTACCAATGGATGTAGTTGATCTAGCATTTAATAGATTTAGGATTGATTGGGGCCGTAGAAGCGCATTTTTAGAGCATTTGAGGATGATGTTGAGGCGAAACGATGTCAAAAATTAGAATTTGGTTGTCTTGAGCAGGAGAAGCGTGGCATTGGGTAGGGATTAAAAATGACAGAAAGTTTCTAAGAATCCATCACAAAGAAGATCCAAATTTTATGCATAGCTTTTCAGGAAGCCGCCAATTTTTGATTAAGTAATGATTTAGAGAATGGTTTCTGGTAAGAATAACTTACAATATCTTAAAAGAAAGCTTCAGATATTTGGTCTGTTGTCTAACTACTCGACCACACCGGCCTTGCTCTCATAGCGGCAGATCAGCCTACAAATGGTTCGAAACCTAGATTCTACTTTACTTATACTGGTCTAGAACATTTAATTGAATTCCCTTCACTTCAAATCAAGTCAGTCAATAATCTTTTTAGCCACAGAATCTCCAATGTCTACTCAACAATCACCTCTTCTTTGTAATAATCTAGCTAATAGTTCAACCCCAATATGGGCTAGTCAACTGATTTGTTTTTCTGCGGTTTCACCATCTCTGTTTTTGCCACTAATATACTCCGTAGGATGAATCAATTTGAAATTTCCAACTGTGAAGAGATTTTTATGATTCCGACTAACTTTCAATAAATATAATTTTTTTCCTTCTGCAATATTTGTGTCTCTAATCTTGTCTCTCTGTTTTTGGGTCGATAATAATGTCATTTTTTGTGTTTAATATTTATGCAGTTTCTCTTATATTGGCAATTATTAATAAATTTTCACATTATTATAGTAGAAATTTAATCTAATATTTATTAATATTTTGTTTATTTAACTGATCAATGGGATCTCCTCATGCAGCACCTCTCGCTTTTTTATTTTTATATTTTGCACATTAAGTTATGAGTCTGGCTGTCTCAATATATATATTGGTGCATAATAAATTAAATAGAAATCTCGCAGTGCAGCAAAGCATCACTATCACTATTATTTATTAAGCATAAAGCACTCTTATTTTTAGCGGATTTTCTTATTAAAAAATAACGCTACTGTCCGCACTTTGTTCCTGCGTCCATCTGTAATACAATCTCGTCTTCCAGTTTATGCTTTTTTGATAGGGATTTCGGCTTATGAAATGCTGAGATCCAGTTGAAAAATAAGAACAGACTTGTTGCACAGGAAGTTTAATTAAATTAAAGATTTTTTATAAATTTCACCTTACGTTTTACGTACGAATTTTTTACGTAGCTCTTAAAAAGTTGACTTTCTGTTTTTATTTCGGTTCTTTGACAATTGTTTTACAGTTCTTTTTGTGCTTTAGAATATCAATATTTTTCATATACATTTCTTTTTTGCAAACATTGCATTTAAAAAGCTTTTGATTCGATGTTGACGGCATTAAAAATTTATCTAAATCTTCTTTATCCACCGCTTCATTTTTAACCGTTTTACAAACATGCTGATGCTGTAATTTTTGAATAGCTGTAAAATTATATATAAGATCACAGCCAGGACATTGAAATTCAGTGGAAAATATTTCTTCTTCCATTTGGATGCTCCAGTCTGTCTCCTCAATACAGCCATAAGTTATATTTTCAGTCACATAAACTCCTCCTTTTACCTGTATATAATAAAATAATTTGGAATTAGAGTAAAAATATTAAAGGCAAAGCACAAACCTCATTGAAAATGCATGAAAAACTGTCAGAAAATGGATTTGGATCGAGATAAAGTGCGTCGAGATTTTCATTGCAAACCGTTTTGTACAAAAACTTTAGATCAGCTGGAAGAAGTCTTTTAAAAGTATAAAATATTTTCGTATTCATAAAGTCGGCTAAGTCTCGTTCTAAAGATGCAAAATCTCCCATTTTTGAAATGCTTTCGATTTCATTTTCTAATTTTAATGATAATAATTGGTTCCATCGTTTTCTTAATTTTGCTGCTTTTGCTACAAGAGTTTGACCAGATTCAGGAAATGGAAAATCTATAGCTAGCCACGAGTCAAAAATTATTCTTGAAAATGTTAAATTACAGTCAATCTCTTGAGCGAATAAAAGAAGCGTTTGTGCAGCAGGCATTCGGATTGAATTCATAAGATAAGGTTTTGTGGTTTCCAGGATTGATAAATAGCATACAATTTGATGGCTTGATGATAAAGGGCATTTTGATTTATAAAGACCCGTTTTTTCGATAGTGTCACTTCCAGAAATATTCAGCTCTTGAAAGTTTTTGTAAAAATAACTCATTGGATGCATTGATATATATGGCTTCGATTTTGTATGAAAGAACTGCTCATTCATAGACTTTAATTGATTAAATTCATCCGATATAGCTATTTTTGGATAAAGACCACTCATTAAGATAAGTTTTAGCATGATTAAATCATATCCACTTGATGCTGTGGCATTCAAAACTAAATTGTCAATTTTAGAGCCCATACTCAATCTAAATTCCACGTCTCTTATATCAACATGACCGTCATTAACTTCTTCATCCATATCGTCTTCATTCGGTTTCAAAAGTTGTTTTTTTCGTGGACCTTCCATTTTATGAGCTCTTTTTAAAGATCCTAGATATCGTCGTTCTCCTGCTCGAATAGATCTTTCAGAATTTGTCAATTTTTCGTCCTTTTCATCTTCTAGTAATTTACATTCTCGTAACAATGATTCCAATTGGTTTTTCAATTTTGTTATCTCATAAAATCTTTGTTCTTCGAGACCTCTTTTTTGGCACCACTTTTTTGAACAAATTTTATCGCGATCACGTGAATCGTAAGACTTTTTAACCATCAACCATTCCCTATACAAATTTAGTAAAGTAATTGGATCACCATGATTTGATTCGCAATCACTGCGAAGCTTCTCACAATCTGAGTCACGAAATGCTCGATTGGTAAATGGTGATTGAACATTTAAAATTGCTGCCAATATTAAGGTAGCTTGAAGTTGCTTGAAAATTGATCCAATTAATAACATTTTTCCAAGAGAAACTTCCGCAGCTTTAATGTATAAATAAATGTTATTAATAAAGTAGATCGACCTATGGAAAAATTAATTAACTTACGAATTTTCGATAATGCTCGTCCCAAACTTGTGAGCTTTTCATCGGAAGTCAATGCTTCAAGTTGCTTTAAAGCAAGAATTGAATTTTCTATACTGTCTATCGATGGTGGCTCAATGAATGGAAATAATCTAGCATTTGGCAATCCCATTGATATCATTTGTAATAAAAGTGACTCTAACGGAACTCGATGAATTTCTGCTTTTGTATAATTTTCAAGCTCATAGAATTCACTTTCTGCATAGAGACGATAACAAATTCCAGGGCCTGTTCTTCCCGCTCGACCTTTTCTTTGCTCAGCTGATGCTTTACTTATCCACATTTCTTTTAATCTTTGCATTTTATAGCTCGGATCATAAGTCATTTCCTTCATTTTACCAGAATCAATAACAAATCGAATTCCATCAATTGTAATTGAAGTTTCAGCTATATTTGTGCTTATTACACACTTTCTCATTTTATCTGGTGCATAATCGAAAACTTTATCTTGTTCTTGCATTGATAAGGTGCTATGAAGTGAAAGTATAATCCAATTATTTTCATTCCGCTGGCTATATTCCTTTGCAGCATCGACAATTGACTGAATTTCATTTAAACCTGAGACGAAAATCAAGAGATCTCCTTTCTCATCTCTCGGATATTTTTTATCGATCATTGACATAATTTGAATGTAAGGCTCAGGATTCAATCGTTCAGTTTTTGATTTCGATTCAAGCCTTAAGTTTGGATTCATCAAATGGGGCATGTAATGTAATTTAATAGGAAATAACCGTCCCGGAACTTCAATAATTCGAGCATTTTCTTCATCAAAGAAATTAGCAAAAAGATTAATGTTGATGGTTGCAGACATTAGAATTATCTTGACTTCTGGACGAGCTCTTAATAAACATTTACAAATTCCTAATAAAAAATCGCCGTACAAATTTCTCTCGTGAATTTCGTCAATAATGATTACCGAGTACTGAGTTAAACTCTCGTCATCACTCAGTTGTCTTAAAAGAAGCCCTTCTGTTATGAATATGATTTTTGTCTCTTTTGTCTTTTGTCTCTCGAATCTGATTTGATATCCCACTGTCGAGCCATATTCACACAACATTTCATGTGATACTCTTTATTAAATGAGTAAGTTAATATGAATCAAACTTAAAATAGTAATGTGATAAATTTACCTTTTTGATAATCCGATACATGCGATTCGTCTCGGCTGTGTGCAAGCGATTTTATCAAATCCTGCATTGTACAGGTACTGAGGAACTTGCGTCGATTTACCACAACCAGTATCACCAGCAATTATTAAAATTGATTCATTCTTGGTCGCCTCGACGATTTCGTTCTCATAAGCAGCGATTGGTAAGCTAGATTGAAATTTTCTTAATTTTTTCAATTTGGCAAATCTTTCCTTTTGTTTAAAATCCAAGTAATGCCTGACAATTGTAAGAAATATTTGGATTTTCTTATCATCTATTGACCTATCCTTGTCCTCATAACTTCTTGATTCAAGTTGATGTTTTGAAGGCTTGAGTTTAAAATTCATTAAGAAATTTTTATTATAAGTTTTTGGAATTAGCAGTTCATTTGAAGGAGCTTCAGTTTGAATTTCAAGAACATTTTGTAAATTTCTCTTTAAAAGATTTTCATATTTTGTTAAGAAACGCCAAAAATCGGATGGATCATCAACCATTTGCTCGCTAATATTGTAGCCCATTAAAACTCTGTGGAAAAAGTTTTTATGATTAAGGAATGAGTAATCTGCATTGTTTTCAGCAGATCGTTTTGGTGAAGTTTGTCTTTTCCTTTCATCTGATGGAGAGCTGTATCGACATTTTTTATTTGACGATTTATCAATATCATATCGACTCATGACTCTGCAAATTATATATCATCAATAAGTAAGGGGAAAAAAATCAGAATTTTGAGGAATAAAGAGGGAAAAAGTTTTAGTTTTTATTGAGATCTATTGAAGGAAATAATTAAATAAGATTGTTCCTAAACAATAATATCCAAGAAAGTTATAAATAATGATTCTTCGTGTCCAATTTAGACGTTTGATATCAAACTGGATTATCACTAATTGATTTATCGTCAACAAAGTAGTCTCGTCGTGACTTGAACGTTGATTCACTTCGCTTCAATTAGCACTGAATTGATATCTTTACAGCATTTAAGCATTAATGAAAATCTAAGCCAACAAGAAAGACTCTCTGAATACAAAGCCGTAAAAAATATTGAAGCTGGATTAAAGCAAAAAATATTGCTGCAATCTCAGCTTGCATTGATCCTTAAAAACTTTCTTTCCTAGTTCATATAATGAGCCCCGAAAATTTTCTAAAGCTCTTAAAATAGGCAGAATAGCTAATGTATCATTTACTTTTCGTAATCATCTGTAATCATATTATAATATTTGGGAATAATCATTGAATAACTATTGAAGAATTTAATTTTTGATGGGTTGTAAGATAGTGTTAGTGAATTTCAAATTAATTTTTTCCGTTGAGCAATAATTGGGGGGGGGTCAGCAAGAAAAGAACAATAGAAATTCCTGGAATTCTATTGTTCTGATTTAAAAAATGACCGTTAATTTCGGACGTCATAAATGAACGACCCCTAATGTATTTGTAGCCTTGTCAAAAATATCACATTCATGGCACAGCATTGATTAAAATGTATCTTATGATTTTAATGTACAGTAGATAAAATGGATAGAATGCCAAATTATTTTCATAAGCATACCCATATTCTGACAAGTAAATGCAAAAAATGCTCAGAATCCCATCTTCGGACACTTCCAAGCAAAAAAAATTATAAACAATCGACTAAAAATGGCTAGTTTGGTTAAGTTTGTTGGCATTTGGGATATTAGAATTTAATAATGAATTGGAAAGAAGAAGAGATCACAAAGAAATCCTGTGACAGATGGTATTTACTACATAAAAATCTAAATGCAAAATTTTAAGCTTAATCTACAATAATCACCTTATTTTAAATGTTTTTTTAATAATTTATTAATTTATTTTAGAACTTATAATGATAACTGCTCTGTCAGGAAGACAATTTGTCACAAATAAACTTTAATTCTAGTTTCTTCACTTCGATTTGTTTATTTTAGCAAACTTTTTAAGCTTCATTGACTCCGGATCATTTCTGAGAATCAAATAGGGAAAAAATTAAAAGTATTCATCCTTTTTTAATAAGGATTTCTGTTCAGCAATAAGCTAGAAAATTAAGGAGAGATATGGCAAATTTTTAATTAACCTGTCAAGAAGTTGACATTTAATAACGGTGTTGATAATCAATTTTTTCCGATTTACCGATTTTTTTTTATTTTGATATGTAATTTTTGTTTGGAATTAGAGAGTATATTTAAAAATTTGCAGAAAAAACGGTTATTTTTGAGTATAAGTCATTTGATTTTATTTAACATCTTAATCCTAATGAAAAGTTTTATTTTAAAAGAATTTAAATGTTCTTCCATGGGTCATGAATAACCACCGATTACCTGGTTTATTTTGCATAAACTACCAATTCTGCTTCATTAAAAAGAGATTGTTTAGACTAATCTCATCGACTGTGAACGTTGCGTGTGTGCGAATGCTTGCGTCAACTATTTATCTGCCCACGATGCTGTTACTCGTTGAGAATGAATGAAAAAGTGTTGTTATTGTCAGTTGCTAGGAAGTTCTGTCAACTTTTATAAATAGAAGTAGATAGAAAAAAATATAAGCAATAAGAATTACGAGACTTCCGTCATGAAAATTATTGTTTATTTGCTCATTGAAATGACTTGAATGTGTTGAATCCTGGATATGTTGTTAGAAATGACTTTGTAAGGTGGTTTAATTAGAGATCATTAAATGATGCGTGTAGGCTTTTTGTGATGACTTGTTATAGATGCAACATGTGAGTTACATTTGGGTAAATTCTAGGTACCAGGCAATACCTTAGTCGAAGGTTTCATTTAAATTAATATTTTGTATTCGAAAACAACATTCCAATTCAAAATTAAGCACATTTCACATTCATACCTCGTAGCAAACTCACTCAATTTCAAATTCATTAAAATTGCGTATTATGCTGTTCATGACAATTATTATCACTTATTGAAAATCACCTGAATGAGCAATTTGCCATTAATCACCAAAAAATCTTCATGCATTCACTTTTTTCCATGAATAAAGAAGTCATTAGAGATAAATTGATAAGGAATTCAATTATTTAATGAGCTTACATGCAAATACAATTTACCTGCCTCAGCATTGCCAATATTTAACAACTCTTTAGCTCATAATGTGAGCTGCATGCCAATTCAATTAAATTAAGTGACAAACCAGCTATATCTGATATGCCTAGTTGTGAAAAAAATAAGCGCATTAAAAATCACAACACTGTTGCTGTAAGTTGCAAGCAACTCATTTTTTTGAATTTTTCCACATTCATATTACACTTCATAATTAATTAATTTTTATTTTGAAATTAATTACATGTGATTTAATTAATCGCTAATTAATTGAGTTATTCTATTTACACACGTTGTTTTATTCAAATGAAAAGATGTCTGTGGTCACCAGTGGAGTGTGTGTCTACATACCATTTTCAACTGAATTGTTAAACTGTAAGCATACAAAGTAGTTAAAGAGCAATTTTCTGCAATATTATTGTTGATAGTATATTTCACTTACATGCTTCACAAATTATCGAAGGCATTCAATTATTTGCAGGTAATGTTTTTCATTTAATTGTGCAGCATTTTTGTGATATTTACCGTTATTTAAGGGATGGTGACATATATGATGCATTATTTAAAAGGAAAGATAATTCTTTTGATTTCTTAATTTTTTGATGCTTCAGATAGAAAAGTTTTGAGTTTTACAACCCTTGCCACTTTTTTAGACGTTTTCGAATCAAAATTAGTAAAATATTTAAGTATTTTAGAAAAACCCGTTAAAAGATCCTGAAGTTGTTATTAAATAGATTTTCGATTTTATAATTGAGCACTTACACGAATCCTAATAAACCCCATTCATGACTTTATAATTAACAGAATCAATCGAAAATCCAAATCTATTAAATTTCAACCCTAAGTTCCTAACCCTCGATTGTCATTGCCGTTTATTATTGCTAGACGACATTGCAAAGTCACATAAATGCCTTACAATACTTGTATTGATTTACATATTTCTATGAATTATAGTGTAATATTGCGAGGTGCTATAATATGCTAATTAACGACACTTAAATACCATGTAATTTTTTCCTTACTTCTACCATACTTCATAAATTGTGTAAAGTGAGAAAGATGGATAGAAAAAAATGCCATTCATGTGAACAATTCGCTCATTAATGAACCTCAATTCATGACAAGAGAGACATTTGGAATATGGTTGTAGATCGCTCGATGAAATGAAGAAATTTATTTTGCAGAAAGTCATTTTAAGTCCTTGAAATTATTTTTGTTTCTCGCTGCTCGTCTAAAATATTTTTCTTTTGTTTTGTCGGTCAACACAATCGCCTGTTACGCGACAACGAAGGAAAGAAGAGACGTAGAAAATATCACAAAAATCCCATAAAAAATTAATGATTTCATCATGCATCGTCCAAATTGCTGTTTCTATCTAAATTTCTATTGAAATCTCATTCCCTCTCGATGTGATTTTAAATCTGAATATCTTTTTGGTGATTTGTGCATGGCAATTTGATACATAATCCAAATGAACATAAACATAAAAATTTGATTTCGACATCATCACTTGTTCGATTTAATTTTTAAAATGAGGCTTTGTCACTTTAGGTGATTCCCAAAATCATTGAAAGATTAATAAAATTGGCTGTTTGGATTACATTGACAATTGTTGAATGAATCAACGTTAATCTTGAAGATGCGTAGATTGGATGATGAATCAGTGATTTTTTTAAATGCCTAAAATAAGGCTAAAGCTTTAAAACTCAAATTCATTCAAAAATAAAACAAAGCAGTGAACAAACCTAACCAAAACTTCATCATTCACTTGCAATTTATTTAAATCATTAACCGGCATTAACCATAATCAAATTCTCTCATTTTCATCAATTTTATTTATGCAGATCGTATGTCAAATGTTGCTTATTTACTTCTCACAAAATGAATTTCCATCAACAAACAATAAGAAAAAATAAGATTGGAATCAACTGATATATTAATGTTATTATTATGTGCCGATCAACTGACTTTAATCGTCGGCATATGAATGTATGAATGAACGAATGAAAGAGAAAATGTGGGAAGTTGTAAAATAAAACTGTGACTTTACTGACCTGCATTTTTGCGTCGTCTCTTTTGCTCTGCTTATTCGTGATTTTTAATGCTGAGCTTTTTTTGCTTGAGCTTACGAAGTACTTGAGCTTTTGGTGTCCGAAACTGTTGAGAGGTTTTCGAACTATAGCAGAGATTTATTTCACATCTTCTACGACAAAGTTGCTAGCTTTAAATCCAAGATTTATGGTATGGCTCATAAATCAATTGCGTTTAAATGCGTAAAATTTTCTTTCATTAAAACTCTTTTGTGTACATTTTGTGCCCACTTGAATGTCTTCAGGCCAAATATATGAGATGAGAAACTCTTCTTTGTTTATTGAATAAAGTTTTTTTTTTATGTGGATGATCTCTTTTCATATTTTACTATGGTTGGGATATTGAATAAACCACACAAAAAACTTCTTTTGAAGTTCAATGCAAAAAAATCTTAATTTGGCTGAAAAATAATAAAAGATCGAAACTAGAGCGAATATTTTTTGGGACAATTTTTAAAAGATTAGCTTGATTTGGATATTTGGGTCTTTGGTGCAGTTTATAAATTCTTTTTTTGTGATATTTTGGATTTTTAAAAAATTTGATTTTTGGAGGTGAAAATATTCTTCATTTTGGCTTTGAATTCTTTTTTAAACTCAAGTTCCTAGATTATCAAACTATTGGCTATATCTTTGTCTATAAAAGTTTGATGAGGTAGTTCAACAGCAATAACAACAACTGGGGAAGGTTGGGATTACTCAAATGAGTAACACTGCATTGATTGTTTAAATGTAAATTCAGTTATTGAATTGCTGATCAGTATTTGAATGTATGCGATTTTTTTTTTAAAAAATTGGAAGTAGCCTTCCAACATCCGGTTAAGAATAAAGGCTTTGATATGTTTCTGATGCAAATAATTATCTAAAATGTTGACTGACTGTTCATATTGCAAAAATAAGCTTTGTGGATTTTTTGCGATAATTTATAAAAAATTGAAAAAAGATAAATTATAGCAAGCAATTCGTAAAACTTTCATCTAGCACAAAGATGGACATTCGTTTTTGCATCCATTAAATTAGCATTAAATCTTACCTTATAATTTTCTCTTCAAATTTCACAATCCCAATATGTCCTGTGCCTTATTTTCTCCTACAAAAAATATATATTTCATAACTTTTCTTCCTCATTATCTTCACAAGACAAGGCAGTCAATCATTTTCACTATCCGAATGACAAGAGATGAGTGTAAAATGACATAATAAATAGACCGTCACATGTGTGTACATTCATCCATATCATTGTTGCTTATTTAACACTTTTACGATGCTCGATGTCTTTATGACATACTCGAGACACAGTCATATCTCGAGGGCAGTTAAAGATACAGAAATAATAACTTTTCAACTTTTTTTATTTTCTTTGCAGGTCTTTTTTTATATCTCTCGCTATCGCACATATATTAAGTTTTATGTCATGCTGAAATATTGAAAGGGAAAAGAGAACTTGACAAACAATAAAGCAAGGCAGTAAAGGAAAAGACATAAAGAGGTGAAAATACAAAAAGGTAAATAAAGAAAGAAGTAAAAAGATACAAAGTGAAGGTTTTAAAGTCACCATCATGTCTGCAATGAATGAAGATTTATCTGTAAATCCAACAACAGAAGCGAACGCTACAATGAATAATGAATTGGTGAGTAATCATTTGCATTTTTTTCATCTACGCGATTGTTTAATATTCATTAATGAATTGCTTCTTTCGATACTTTTGCATTTGACGATGACGAGGAATTTTTTTTTCCTACTTAATAATGAAAGACTTCAATTGATGAGTAAGCGTCAAACCTAAATTATTTTCAACAAAGTTTTGTTTTTGGAATACAATGGAAATTATTTGGTTTTTGATGCTCTTAGACGGTTTTTTGTTAGATTCTCTTTCAGGGGTGTAATGCTGTGAGCATTGTGCTAATCCTTGTCATATTATTGTCATAATTGATCGAAAATGAATTGAGAATCGAATTAGGATTATTTGTTGATTTTTAAAATGACA